CGCCAGCGTGGCCAAAGGCGGAGCCTCCCGACCCAGGGCGTCTAGTGAGGAAGGGACCCGCGGAGAGGGGGTTCAGGGTCTCCCTCGGCCTCGATAGAGAAATCTGGGGACGTGGGTGTCGGGAAGGGAGGGCAGCTGGGGCCTTGTGAGAAGGGACTTCCAGACGGGCCCCACCCGGCTGTGGTGGGTTTGGACGAGGAAGCGGAACCCCTCAGCCTGGCTTTAAGAGGTCCAGCCTTTGTGTGTGAAAGCGGATTTGTGGGCTTCTGGAAGAAAGAGGGTGGCAGGTCGAGGGGTCTCCGGGGAAGGACGGCACAGAGGTGGAGGAAGGAAGCTGGGTCTGGGGAACCCTGGGGCCTGGGGCTCGGAGCCCCTCTCCACGCTCCCCGCTCAGCTCCGCTGTAGGTAAAGGGAGGGATTAGGTTCTGACTGTGAAGTCAGGCTTCTAGCCAAAGGGTGAGGGGAGCCTGGAGGAGGGGAGAGGGCAGAAACCAGACTCCTGCTCCCCTGTGGCTTCTACTGAGGTCATTAAATCCGCCTCGCCCAGCTCCAGCCCCCTCGAGCCCCCACCAGGAGAGTCCAGTTCAGGGGTGCTCTCCCCCACAGGGCATTGGGACTCCTGCTGTCAACCTAACCCTCAGGAGGTGCTCTGGTCCCCGACGCCTGATGCTCCCGCAGGTGGCTTGGCTGAGAACACTGTTCCCAGTCTTCTGGTCAGGTGGGGCTCCCTGAGGTAGGGGCCTGCCACCTTCCCTGCTGCCCCACTCCCCTGCCAACTGGCCAGGAGTTCCAGAGAGACAGGAGTAAGACAAAGGGAAGTCGGGCTGGGAGGGAATTCTTTCCAGATGTGAGTGTTTGTGGTTTGGCAGCTCTGGCCTGAGCTCCAGCCCCGGCACCCCAACTCTGGCTGAGGGAGGAGGGTGGAAGGTCTGGAGCAGGGTGCTGACTACCAGCTGGGGATAGAGGTCCTAGGTTCTAGCAGCTCTGGTACCCCAGGAGCAGCAGGCTTGTGGGTCAGAGCTTAGGGGAGATGCTGCGGAGGGGAAATGAGGGACTAAGGTCTGGGGGGCTGGGAGAAGGGGCTTTGAGAGATGGATAGGGACCCTAGGGGCAAGGGGCAAGGGTGAGGCCAAGGGGAGGGGCTTCCGCCAGCATCCGCCACTTAGTCCCAAACAACTGGCTTTAATTTCCCGCTGGGATCACTAAGGAGAAGGAATTTCCCAGTGTCGCTGGCCTTTCAATTATGACCAAATCTGCCGCAGATCTGCCTGGGGCAACCCTTTCCCCCTTTCTAGGGGCCTCGATCATAATCCTGTTGGGGCTCCCCCAGGAATGTGGAGACTCAAGTTGGTGAGGAAAGCTGGGGAGCAGAGGCAGAGAAGGGATGGGACAGAAAGGGCATAGACCAGCCTGAGAGGGTTAGGAGGGAACCCAGGGCTGCGTGCACGTCCACTGTGGTGTGGCTGGTTTGCCCCAGCGGGAACGGAGAGGAGCAGTGTCCGGATGTTCGAGTGTGGACAGGACCAGTGTGGGCACAGTTAAAGGGCGTGGGGCCTGGAAGCGGGGCAGCCCCACCCCTGTCCGTCACTGCCTTGAGGCGGGGTTGGGGTGCCCGGTGGAGTGGGGAGGGACCGCCAGTCCAGCCCCGAGGAGGGAAGCGTGGGAGCACAAAGCCCCAGGTCGGCACTGTGGAGAGCCTCCCTCCCTTACTCCATCGGTTTGGGGTGGGCTGGCTGGGACTCAGGTAGGAGTTAAACCCAGGTGGGGCTGGACACCTGGATTTGCCACTCACCAGAGAGACCGCGCAAGGGAGGCAGGACTTCCCCAGGAGGTGGGGCTGGGAGCCACTAGGGTAAGACTGCGTCCCGTCACCCTGGGCCCTCGTACTCCACTCAGTACAGAGCTTTGACTCCAGCACCCGGCCTCCCACCCAGAAGGGCTGCGTTCTCGCCCGTCTCCGTGGCTTCAGGGGCCCAGCCCTTCTGCAGTGTGGTAAAGCCAGGCTCTGATTCACCCGGAGGAAACTCCCGTTGTGGCAGCAAGGATGGGAGTTAGACGAAGAGGATCTTCTAGCAAGGGGAGTACAGGCTGGGAGATAGGATCCGCCTCTCTGGGAACGTTTGTGCTCAGGGGAGAAACCCAAGCAACCCTGAGGGAAGCAATGACAGGGATGACAGAATCTCCAAGGCTAACCAGGGACCTGGCAAGGAAGGCAGCATGGCCCAGTAGAGCGGGTGCCACAGACTGGGAGGAGCTCAATGCTGTGGGGGGGTCTCAGTTGGCCAAGGAGGGTCTGCAGGGCACCCAGGCCGCACTTCTGTTGTTCTTGGCTCTGCCACCTGGTTCCCAGCCCCAGCTGCCAACGCTGTCCTCAGGGCTGGGCCGGGCCACTGAGCCGAGGGAGGGGAGAGGGAGGAGGAGAGGGTGCACTGGCTGAGAGCATGTCCGGACTGAATCTCAGTCCCCTGGACGGAGACGTGACCTGGAGTTAAACTCTGCTGGCTTTATGATCCGATCCTAGGATCAGACCCTCTGCCTCTCCCAGCTGCGGTGGCTCTGCACCAGCTCCTTAACCCCTGGCGGCCCAGGGCAGGAGGTGTCAGGCTGTAGCTAAGGCCGGTCTGTGGGCCCTGGGGAAAGTGGCCCTCCCGGGGCAAGGCGCACAGCCTGCACCCCGGCCTCCACCTTGCCACAGTGGCCCAGGTGCTGGGCCTGGGCCGGGAGAACACAGGCCACCTCCCGGGAGCCCCTCCCACCCTCAGATGGGAACTGGAAGAAGACAGATCCGGGTGGAGGAGGGGGCTGCGGGCTGGGCTGGTGGGCACAGGGCCAGACAAGCAGATTCTGGAATTGAAGAGGAAAGAGGAGGGGGAAGGGGGAAGAGGAGACAAGACGGAGGAGAGGAGCCCAGGCCTGGGCTTTGAGGTCCTGGATGGAGACAGAAAGAGGGTGTGGACTCACGGTCTTGGGGCAGGGTAGAAGGGGCTGGTGGGCGGCCTCTGGAGGGCAGTGGGCCAGCTCGGGTGTGGCTCCCAGGGCTCTTTCGGCTCTATTTCCCTCTTCCCTTAAGCCCCCAAACGCAGGGGCTGTCTGCAGGCAATGGGACCTAGTAACTCCTTCACCCGCCAGCCTGGCTGCCAAGGCCCTGTGGAAACCAGCCGGAGTCCCGGGAGTTGGGTAGTAAAGAGCAGCTTCCCCAGCCCAGGCCCTTCAGGCTGCAGAAGTTCAGAGTGGGCACCGTAGCCAGCCTAAGGCCTTGTCCTTCCCATGACCCCTAGCCCACCGCTTCTTCCAGCAGAGCTAGCATGGGCGGGAGGCCCCAGGCTGACCTAGACCTAATGGCTTTCTCTGGGCAGCAGGAACAAAATGGGAAAAAGATGTGTGAGGTGGGAAGCTCTGATTTCCTTTCCCCTGCAGGCGCCAGCTCTGGAAAATGTTAGCTGTCAAAGAAAGAGAACGAACATTCTCCCCAGCTTCTCCTACCCAGTAACCCGGACCCCATATCTTGTCCACCAGGGTCCCCAGCTGCCTGGGTTCTCAGAAGGTCCCTGCCTCGGCAGTAGGTTTCCCAGTTGCTCAGGATGCACACTGCCCGACAAAGTCCCCAACTCCCCCGCCCGCGACTCTGCTGCCGACCTCAGGAAAGCCACTGAGGCAGGAGTGCTAGAACTTGGGGATCCAGAGGAACACGTGCCCAGGGGATCCAAGA